GCCATGGTGAGTGGGGCACCTGGTCCTCTCCCCCCTGGGGTAGTTGAGGTGTCATGTGTTCCTCTCCATAATCCTCGGGTGGGGACGAGTGGCCCTGACCCACCGTCTTGCCCCAGCATCCATCTCCAGCCCCTGCCTTGGCGGGTGCTGGAGCATCCTGGCCTGGAGGGGAAGGCTGTGGGTGGCCATTGGGCTACAGAACTCTGTGATGGAGCTCACCCAGGTCCTCTGTCCCCGCTGCAGGAAGTGGAGGAGGATGACCCGGTTCCTGAGATCCGCCGTGACCACTTTGAGGAGGCCATGCGCTTCGCTCGCCGCTCGGTCAGTGACAACGACATCAGGAAATACGAGATGTTTGCACAGACCCTACAGCAGAGCCGCGGCTTCGGCAGCTTCAGGTAAGGGTGGGGAGAGCCATAGCAGGGCCACCTGCCCAGCTTTCTGCCAGATTCTGGGTGACAGACCCCTCTCCTGCTGCGCCTGTTCTCCCCAGCGCCTACAGCAGCTGGTAGACAGCGTGGTGGGTGTAGGCCATGCTGCAGGTCGGTTGTAGCCACTCCATTAGCCCTCCTGAAGCCCATCAGCCCTTTCTCCCCTGTAACACCAGCCTGACGGGCTTCAACCCCTTTCTCCTGCCTGTCCTATATATGGGTGGGATGTTGGTCTGGAGGGAGGAGGTGTCTCTGAGGCTTCTGAAGGTCATCTCTTCTCTCTTCTCCTGCACCCCTTGCACACAGGTTCCCCTCGGGCAACCAGGGCGGCGCCGGTCCCAGCCAAGGCACAGGAGGCGGCAGCGGGGGCAACGTGTACAGCGAAGACAACGACGACGATCTCTACGGTTAACTCGCTGCCCTGGGTGGACCGAACTCCACGTCAGGCCACGTTGTACAGGGAAGAAAAGAAAAAAAAAAAAAAAGAAAAGATAATCCAATTGTTCAATGGACTCTTCGGCTTCTTCATTCCTCGGTCAGACCAGTGTAGCTGCACGTCAGACTTTGTACAAGGGGATATTTTCTGCACACACCAGTCCAGAGGGGTGTCCGGTTGGGAGGCAGGCAGGGAGTTAACAAGGAGGGGAACCGACTTAATTTCTGAGAAATTTTCTGTTCTAGTTTATGTGGCAGAATCAGCAGCTTTAGCAAAGGGTACAACGCTAGCCTGTATAAAAACAAAACAAAACAAAAAAAACAAAAAACAAACCCAACAAAAACACAAAAATAATAAAAAAAAATAATAAAAATCCCACAAAACTCTAGCCAGGCCCCGGCAGTTTCTTTGTGTCATGCTGGCGTGGTCTCTAAGCCTGTGTCCCTGGTGCTGGCCAAGCACTCCTCGCTCTTCTGGAGCCCATCTGCCTCTCACCTTCCCTCCTGCCTTCGGGGCCACTTTTCCTCCTGAACCCCTCTTGGCTCTCCGTAACGGGGGAAATCAGCGTGGTGGTGTCTGTCCCCTGCCCTGGCGTGGCACCGAGCACTGAGGAAGAGCCTGGCAGCAGGTATCTGGTGTTGGTTCTCTGATGCTGGCCACCAGCTGTCAGATCTCCCTCTGCTTTAGCTCCTCAGCAGCAGAGGGCTCCTGAGGGCAGGCGTGAGGGGGATTTTAGGGATTCAGGAACTGAAGGTCTCTGCCAGGAGGGTGAAATGCAGGTTGTGTGGCAGAAGGGTGCTCCAGGCTTTTGGGGGCTGACCCATGCCATAAAAAACAGCCTCCATCCCCCATCAGGAGTTGTGTGGGGCACCTGGTAGATCTTGAAGGGTTCCACCAAACCAGCTAGATATCACGCGAGAGGGGGTGTGTGTGTCTTGAAATGTCAGAAGGACGGGACTATCCACGAGACGGGGCTTGTGGGTGGCAGCGGGGAGAAAGGTGCTGAAATTGGGAACGCTGTGTTTAAATAGCACAAGCTCCTGCTGGGGTAGGAGGCCACCGAGGGCCCTGGGGAAGGTGGGCAGCTCCCGTGCTCTGTCCTACTTCAGAGCTCCTTGCCAGCACTGCTCCTGCCCTGTCCTCATCCCACCTCCTGGAGAAAGCACTGCTGCTGGCTCCTGCGGGGATGGTGGCCATGGCCTCCTCCATTGGCCATGGGGCTGAGGAGGTGCTTCCCTTGACCTTTTTTTGGGTTAATTGGCACCTGGAAGGTCTGCAGGGACACAGGTGGTGGCTTTGCTCTCCCCAGGGTGGTGGGGAGCCAGGAATCAGCTGCTTTCAACCACCTGGGAAGGGGGAAAGGGCAGCTCTGCACCGACTCCAGGAGCTCTTCAGGACTTGCCCAAACCTTGTCCAGCTCTGGCAGGAGAGGCTCTGGTGGGTTTCTCCCTCACCAGTTTGGGACCATCACCACCCAGCCAGCACTGGGGGAAGGTCCACCCCGGCACCGCTCTCTGCTGTGGAGGCCCGGAGAAGCAGGGCAGGGGATGGTGGGGTGCGTGTCCCAGTCTTCCCTTCTGCCTCTCCTAATTGCAAATGCTAATTAAATCCAGCGTGAGGGCTGCAAAACCTCATCATCTTTTCCTTGCCACCCGTGGGAGGTGGCTCCTGGTGGGGACAGCACCCACAGGAGCTCTGAGAACATCTGCCCTGAGGGTGTCCCCCAAACCAGCACCTGAAGTAGCCCCAGGAGAGCGGTTGGCACCAAGGGCTGTGTTTGTCCCCTGTCCAGGGGTCACCCCAAAGCAGAGACCCCCTGGGAGCTGCACGGCACCCCCACGTCCTGCCCCCCACCTTCCTGGGGGGACTGGGCACCCCAAAGGTGCTGGGCGGGGGCTTGCCCTGGGTGGTGCGGGATCAGCGAGGGGGCCACTGAGGGCAGCCTTTTCGTTGCCACCATGGTCGGCATCTCCTTGTTGAAGTTCAACAAGGGCAAGTGCAGGGTCCTGCACCTGGGGAGGAAGAGCCCCCCACACCAGAACAGGTTGGGGGCTGACCTGCTGGAGAGCAGCTCTGCAGAGAGGGACCCGGGAGTCCGGGTGGACAACTTGTTGACGATGAGCCAGCAATGTGCCCTTGTGGCCAAGAAGGCCAATGGTCTCCTGGGGTGCATTAAAAAGAGCATGGCCAGCAGGTCGAGAGAAGTCATCCTCCCCCTCTGCTCTGCCCTGGTGAGGCCCCATCTGGAGCACTGTGTCCAGTTCTGGGCCCCCCTGTTGAAGAAGGACAGGGAACGGCTGGAGAGTCCAGTGGAGGCTACAAAGATGATCAAGGGACTGGAGCACCTCTCTGGTGAGGAAAGGCTGAGAGACCTGGGTTTGCTGGAGACGACTGAGAGGGGACATCATCAGTGCTTGTCAATACCTAACAGGCAGGTGCCAAGAGGATGGGACCAGACTCTATTCCCAGGGGACTCTGTGCCCCCAGGGACAAGGGACAGACAAGGGATAATGAGCACAAGCTGGAACATGGGAAATTCCATCTCAACAGGAGGAAAGACCTGACTTTGAGGGTGGCAGAGCCCTGGAACAGGCTGCCCAGAGATGGTGGGGAGTCTCCTTCTCTGCAGAAGTTCAAAACCCGCCTGGGTGTGATGCTCGACAACCTGCTTTAGATGACCCTGCTTTGGCAGGGGGGTTGGACTAGACGATCTCCAGAAGTCCCTTCTAACCCCATATCATTCTGTGATGGTGCCCCACTGCGTTTCACCATGTCCCCCCCCAAGCTCTGCAGCTGGGTCCCACAGGGACCATGCACCCTCATGGGGTCCGCAGCCCAGACACGGTGGTTGCAGAAGGCGGGGGGGCCCTCCAGCCAAGGCGTCTGGGTTAGGGGCTGCTCCCTCACCCGAGGGACTGGGGCCCTCCTGCATCACCCCGAAACCCTCTGGGACCAGCAGGTTCTGTCGCCAGCAGAGGGCAGGCGGTGGCCACGCTCAGCAGGTCCCCTGTCCTGCTTTGGGCCCAGCACAGGCATCCCATGGGCATCCCTGCCCCATGGGTCTTCCTGCTCCATGGCCATCCCTCCTCCCATGAGAGTTCCTGCTCCAAAGGCCATCTCCTGCCCCATGGCCATCGCCTGCCCCACGGGCTTCCCCTCCCCTTGGGCATCCCCTGCTCCATGGCCATCCCCTCCCCACGGCCATAAGTTGTCCCCATGGCCATCTGTTGTCCCCATGGCCATCCCCTGCCCCATAGCCATCCATGGCAGCATTGTCAGCCCCCATGGCTGGGGGTAGGGGGCTGTGCTGGTTCTGCCCCCCTGAACTGGGAGCCCATTAGGTGCTCCCAGCCTCGTCTCCTGTGTGGGCTTCAGGGTCAGCTTGTTGTGGGGGGTGATTTCACAGCCCTGAGCTTTTTGCCTGGGAGGGGGGCAGTGACCCACAGCCCCCAACTTGGGGTTTGGTAGCCCCATCCCCTCCCTGGGCACGATGCCCATGGGGGGGTCTGCTCTCATCGCTGCTCCTGCTGAGAGCTCTGTGGGCAAACTTTATGGGCATCAGGGGACTTTCCCTGGGCACAACTGGTGCTGCTGCCTCTCGCCCTGCCCCAGGGTCCCTTCCAGAAGAGCCAGTGTCTCTCCAGCCCCCTCACCCCAGGCAGCCAACGAGGACCCCCCTCTTTGCTGTCCCCCCCCCCCC